GGGAATTTACTTGGATTAAAATCTGGTTATAGCACAAGTCATGAGCTTGAGTAATGGTCTTTATCAGGGATGGCTTGGGTAGGGTATCTGGCATAGTAGCACAGACATGCTAATGATGGCATGCCATAGTGGCATGCTAGTGGCATGCCTCAAGGCAGTTTGGCATGCCATCTAATAAAATTATTTATATATATACTAATTTTTTTTATACTATATAATTTATATAAAGCAATATGCTATTAATATAAAATTAACAAAATGAATAATTTTATAAAATGTATATTTTAAAAACTTTTTTATATTGTATAAAAAACTATTTATACATATAATATCTGCATATTAAACTATATTGGAATTTTTTATTAAAATATTTCACTTAATATTAATGATTAATAAGTATATAATAATAAATAATATATGATATTAACAATTAAAAAGGTTATTATTTAATATCACTATCTAATATTATACAAATGGCATGTCACTGGCATGCCATGGCACAGATTTGAATAAATAGCATGCCACATGGCATGCCAATTTTTTTGAGTATGCCAAATACCCTAGGCTTGGGTTATAGTCTTAATCATGAGTGGCTTGAGTTACAGTTTTAACTATTATACTATCTCCTTCTTTTAATAGCTTTCTTTTTGTCTGTTTTCTGCTTCTTTAGATTTTGACATAAGCTCAGGTTTATTCAGATATTGCTGGTAATAGGTTTTAACTGCTTTTTGGGCATAAACTACATTCTTAGCAGGTTTTCAAGATCTCTTGTTAATATTATAACCTTTCCAGTTGACTAAGTAGTACACTTTCTTCTGCACAATTTTGAAGTTGAGTACCTTGTTGACTTCAAATTTGGTTTTGCCTTCAATGACCACTGAAGGTGATGGTTCTGGTGATCTTTCTGGAAATATGTTAATCATATAGGATTCTAATACAGATATATGAAAGGTGTTGTGGATCTTAAATAATGAAGGTAACATTAAATAAAATGCCACTGGATTGATTATTTCAGAAATTGCATAGAGACCCAGCTTTTAATAATCTAGTTTGTTGGAAAGGCATGTGATGTGAATATTGCAGTGTAACAGTCAGACTTTATTGCCAACTTTGAAGTCAGGACCCTTTTGTTGATGTTTGTCTTTATGTTTTTTATATTGTTCTTGCACTGTTGCCAGTTTTCTGATAAGTGTTGTTCTTATTTGTTATAATTGGGCAGCTTTATCTTTTGCAGCAAGAACTAAGAAGAATAATAGTGCTTGTAAGTTGAAGTTAGGATGAAAACTGTAGTTGGCAAAAAAAGGTGTAGTCTTGGTGGAAGTGTAAATTAAATTATCATAAGTAAGCTCAGTTAGAAGAAGCAAATCAACTCAGTTGTCCTGATGGTAATTAATTATACACCTTAGATATTGTTCTAACACTTGGTTTACTCTTTCACTTTGGCCATCTGACTGAGAGTGATAGGCTGTTGATAGATTGATTTGGGTTCCTATAAGGCTAAATAGCTGTTTTTAGAACCTTGAAACAAATTGAAGCCCTCTGTCTAACACAATAACTTTTGAAACTCCATGCAAATATAGTACTTCACTCAAAACTAGATGTGCAGTTTGCTTGGCATTGATGCTTTTATTGCATGCAATAAAGTACACTATTTTTGTCAGCCGATTCACCATCATAAGGATTGAGTCAAATCCTGATGATAACAGTAGGTTTGTAATAAAGTTTATAGAAATCAATTACCATTGTCACAAAGGAATAGGTAAGAAGGCAAGTAACCTATAAGGGTGGTGTCTAGGAAGTTTAGACCTAGCACAAGTGTCACAAGATTTTATATAGTGCCTTATAAAAGTTGGAAGTTTCAGCCACCAGTAGTCCTGTGATACTAATTCTATAGTTTTTGTTACTCCAAAAAAATCTGCTAATTTTGAATCATATCTCGAATGCAACACCTTCAGTCTCTTTGTTGGATTTGATATATACAATAGGCCCTCTCTGAACAGAAGACTGTCAATGTATTGAAACTTATGATAATCAGATTTCAAGCTCTAAATGTTTTTGTCTGGATGGTTTAACTGCTTAATTATATCTAGAGCCAAAGGGTCTTCTTTCAATTGGTTGCAGATTTGGTTCAACATGGTAATGTTGGTTGGTGTTACATAAGTGGCATCTATGCAAAGGTTTCAAGACTTCAATAATGTAGTATATTGTTGTGCTACCTTCTTATCACTGTCATGAAGTTGGTAATCTGGTCTTCTAAATAGAACATCTGATTTATCCTGTTTCTTTCCTAACTGAAATACAATTCTAAAATTATAACCTGAAAGAAGAAGGAACCATCTGGCCTAATATTGACTAAGGGTTTTTGCTATGATGAAATATTGCAAATTTTTGTGATCACAGTATATAGTAATTTCATGCTATGCTTCTTTCAGGTAATGTTGCTACTGCTTAAAGGCCATTATTATTGCCAGAAGTTCCTTATCATATACATTATAGTTAATTTCTGCTGGTGTGAATTTTTGTGAATAGTAGATGACAGGATGGAGTTTCTCCTCATAATGTAGCTGAGACAGAACTATGCCTAGTACATAATCTGAGACATCTATTTTAAGATAATATGGTTTAGTTAGATCAGCTTGTACTAAAACAGAAGCAGTAGTGAAAGCCTTTTTTAGAGAAGTAAAAGCTTGTTGGGTTGATGAAGGCCAAACAAATACTTTTACCTCTTTTTCTTGTTTTTTGATTAGGTTGGTCAGAGAAGTAATTAGGTAGGCATACCTCTTGATAAAATGTCAGTAATAGTTAAAGAAACCCAAGAACTACTGCACCTTTCGAATTGATGTTGGGATAGGCCATGTGAAGATGCTCTTAATCTTGTTAGGATCTATTTAAATTCCTTGGGAAGTAATACAATAATCTAAGAAGTTAATACTTTTCTTGTCAAAGTTGTATTTTTTTAATTTCGCAAACAAGCTATTTATTCATAGGCATTTCAGTACTACCTGTATTTGTTGATCATGTGTTTTTTGGTCAGGTAAATATATCAAGATGGAATCCAGGTAAATAACAACGAATTGATCCAGAAGGTTTCTAAAAACATCATTTATTAAGTATTGAAAAATGGCTGAAGCATTAGTAAACCTGAAGGGCATTACTAAATACTCAAAATGTCTGTATCTTATGTAAAAAGCTGTTTTCTATTTATTTTCTGGTTTTATTCACATCAAATTATAAGCCCTTCTTAGGTCTATTTTTGTAAAAACTTTGGCAGTAGCAAGTTGATTTAATAATTCTGCTATTAGGGAAAGTGGATAGTAGTTTCTAACTATAACCCAGTTTAGGTTCTAGTAGTTAACACACATTTGTAAGGTTCTATTCTTTTTTTTGACAAAAAGCACTGAAGCCTCTGTTGGCAATTTGAAGTGGCAAATGAAACCTTTTTTTAGATTTTTCTCTATATATTTCTTTAAGGTTTTGAGTTTCTGTGTAGACAATTTGTAAATAGAACTCCAAAGAGGCTGCGAGTTAGGTAATAACTTGATTTTACAATCATATTGATGGTTTCTGAGTAACTTGTAAGCTTCTTTTTTGCTAAAAACATCACTATATTATTGTTACTTTTCAAAAATTGCTAAGAGTGCCCTCTCATTAACATGGCAGAGGCTAACAGTCCTGGCGGGAAAACTTGAACTACAAAAATTTGTTCTTTATTAGTTATGCTAGTTTCTAAAAGTAGAAAACAATGAGTTTTACAGGTTGGGTCTGAAAAGGTGATGGTTTGTTTGTGCCAATTTATTTCAGGATTATGTAATATCAGCCAAGGCAACCTTAGTATTACTTTGTAGTAAGAAGAAGGAATAAGGTTAAAGGTTATTTTTTCATACTGTTCTTGTAGATATACAGATATCAGCCTGGTTTCATGTATTACAAACTCTGATAAAAGCTTCCAACTATCGACTACCTCAACTGTTAATAGTGACTTTTTTTGAAAATAGGTAAGTTGAGTTCTTGAGCCAGAGTAAAATCCAAAAAGCATGCTGAAGCTCTAGAATCAACTAAAGCTTGCATGCTTGTTCGAGTTCTATTAGAGAAGTATACATGTAACTCTGGGATCAATGCTGTTACAGGATAGTTGTTAAGTAGTGGGTTTGCAGGAGGTAAACTATTGATATGGTTTAGCTACAGCCTTCTTACTGCAGCTAAGGCTGTTTTTTTTCTAATGATTCTTTTGAAGAGACAATAGTGTTAATTCTTGGTAGTAAGTTAGATTTTTTGAGGCAATTTTTGACAATATGACCTGGGTCACTACAATAAAAACAGAGGTTATTTGTATAATACCATCTTTTTTTAGCTACTAAGAGTAGCTTGATTCTCATAGTATCAATTTGCATTAGATCTTCTTCAAAAGGTGCTAACCTGGCAATAGTCTAAGGTTGATACTGTCTTGCTGGTGGTCCTATAAGTGTTCTTGCCTATGCTCGAACAGTCAGTTATCACACCTGACAGCTTTCAAAATAGCATCATTCAGTGAGGTTAGGTTATTAACTATAAAGAGCAAATCCTTTACGTTACTATAAAGCCTACTACGAAATTGATTAATTAGCACTGCTTAACCCCAATCCAAATCATCTGCAATTTGCTAAAATTTAAAAACATAATTTGAGGCTAGTCTTGTCCTTTGAATGAGCTTTCAAATTTTGTTGGCTGCAGTTCTGAATTTTTCTAAGTCACCAAATATGACTTCAAATTCCTTGACCAGGTCTTTAAAAGTTTCGAGTAATGGTGATTGTTTCTTCAGGAGCAGGACAAACAGGCAAGAGCTGGTCCTGCCAGTAAGCTTTCCAAAAGACCTACTTGTGCTTGATTATTGGGATAACAGTTGGGTTGCATATATATGACAAGACAATCCTGATTTAAAAAACTTCTAAAGTTTGTTCAGACATGTCAAATTTGTCAAAAAGGCTAACTTTGAGTTCCTTGTATTGGTTATTAATTCCTTCTTAAGCATGAAGATAGTTTAAGGCATTTCTGAGATCCATGTTGTCTTGCTGCAAAGCTTGATTGTCAAGTTGGAGTTGGTTTACTGCAACTAATATGTTATCAAGATCAAGTTGGTCTGCTATTTGTGTCTCTTGTATTATGTGTTTTTTTTTTTTTTTTTTTAAAAAAAAAAAAATTAAATCTATGCACTATGCTAATGATGATTGATTTGAGAGTTGACTATTGAGTTTATAGGAGCATACTTCTAAATGGTTTGATTGCTATTGGATTAGTACCTGTTGCAGGAAAAGGTAGTTTGTTCAAACTGTAGTAGAACAGGACAAGACTAATAAATACTTTCTTAGACAATTAAGAGAATTTATTGAACAGACTAATTATTACAAGAATTGTAAGTATTACTTTTATATCCTTTATACTTTAATCTATTCTGTTATGATTACTAATGCAAGCTATTACTACTTAATTATATTATAATTTATGCAATGCTATTGACTATAAATTTATCTATAACTAATTACTACAATTAATTAATTAATAACAGTATAATTAATGCATTGGAATTTACTTGGATCAGAATTTACTTGAATCAGGAAATTTACTTGGATCAGGAATTTACTTGGATTGGAATCTGGTTATGGAGCAAGTTACAGGTTTGAGTCATAGTCTTAATTAGGAATAGCTTGGATTATGGTCTTGATCATGGGTGGCTTGAGTCATAGTTTTAACTGTTACACATTTTGATGAAAAATACACAAGTAGAATTTAAAATAAATTTAGCAGATAGCAATAACACAAGATTATTATTAGACCAAATTCTTCTACTTTTGGATAAAAAGTATATAGAAGTTTAAAAATAACTAAAAACTTTGAGAGTAAAGATTTGGTAGCATTTCTGAAAATGGCTAATAAAATTAATACAACAAATGTAATCACAGAAGCAGAAAAATATTCTGGTGAAATGCTAAAACTAATTCTTTCAGATATATAACTTTCTCAAAATATTTATCAATATCTTGTTGAATATTATTTTATATTATATAATATAACATTGTTATCAGTTAATAATGTTGTAACCTAATATGAAAGATTAAGGTTGGAAATAGATATATATAGTTTGAAGATAGTTTCACAATATGTTAACTACTTATATATCAGAGCAAAGTTCTTAGCCTTTACAGATAATTCTGTTAATATATATTTAGAACAAATACAATTCTTTTTTTAATATAAATTTTTTAGTAATACCTTTCATTTAGCTTATGTTCGATGATATCAGATATACAAAACATGAAGACATTACTTATCATTAAAGAATAATAAGCATTGTGATATAGAAATTTGGTAAGATAAATTTTATAATAAAGCTAGAGACTGTATAATTCCTGTTCAAAGAATATTAGAATGATTTATTTCTTCATTATACAAATTTAAATATGGTACTTTATTGCAAAATGTATTAGTAATAATTTTGATAAATAAATAATTTAATATATAATTAAACTGATAGTTTATTAATTAATTATTTTTTAGTATATGTATTAAATATATTTAATAAATATTTTTTTGAATTTGTATATATAACTATTATTATATCAATAAGCACATTTTATTTTATTTTATTTTATTTTTTTTTTTTTGTTTTAAGGCCGATGTTAATGGCGGCTAATGCCTTTATTGTGTTTTTAGTGAATACATTATATA